TGCCACGAAGTGAAGTGTCCGAACGTCATAGGGCGGGAAGCTGGGTGTGGGTGGTGGCGAAGAGTCGTTTGGAAATTTGGTAGAGCTTGAACCGGCCCCCCCACAAAGTGGGGGTATTGCCCGCCTCCTATGAAAACCCTGGCACTGGTGAGAACGGTGTGTCCCCACGTGCTAGTAATTGTTGTTGTTGTTGTTGTTGTTGTTGTTGTTGTTGTTGTTGTTGTTGTTGTTGTTGTTGTTGTTGTTGAACGCTCACTCTTGAAGAATAATTATTGGTGATCCCCCCCCACCGGTGCACATTGTTTTTTTTCGATTGAAGTGCCACCCCCGGGGCTCGCACCTTGTTTTTTCTCAAAGAAAGTCTTCCTGCTCAAACTGTGTCCCTGCCCCCCGGGCTACAACAACAACGGCTCCCGCCTGAGACTTCCTCGATTTTTACTCAGGACCCCCGCTCCCGCCTGAGACTTCCGCGCAACTTACTCAGGAAAGGCGCTCCCGTTTGAGACTTCCTCGCAATGTAATCAAGACCCCCGTTCCCGCCTGAGACTTCCGTGCGATTTACGTGGGAACGGCGCTCCCGCCTGAGACTTCTTCTAATTTTACTCAGGACCCCCGCTCCTGCCTGACATTTCCGCGCAATTGACTCAGGAACGGCGCTCCCGCCTGAGAATTCCTCGCAATTTAATGAGGACCCCCGCTCCCGCCTGAGACTTCCGTGCAATTTGCTAGGAACGGCGCTCCCGCTTGAGGCTTCCTCGCAACTTAGTCAGGGCCCCCGCTTCCGCCTGAGATTTCTTCAAAATGTACTCAGGACTGCGCTCTCGCGTGCGACGTCCTCACAAATTATTCTGGAATTGCGTTTCGGCGCTCAGGAACCACGCACGCGCCAAGGACGCCTTCACAACGTGGTATCTTCCCTCTTCCTTCGTCCTTCCCCCTCCCCTTCCTCCCACTCTCCCTCGTTCTTCCCCTCCTCCTCTTGCAGGGCCCGCGCCAATTCCAATGGCGGGCAGAGAGATGTACACCCCCGAAGGATTGTCCGCCCGTTCCGGTTTGCCCGTGCGTCCGAGCCCGCCGGCCCCAGCAAAGAGAAATAATCCCCCCGAAAGGGGTGTGATCGAAGACGAAGAGGGCGGGTATCGAGGGTGTAGGGTATACGTGTTGAATGACTCGCGGGCAAATAAGAGCGTACAGCCTTAAAATGGTTGTTGTTGTTGTTGTTGTTGTTGTTGTTGTTGTTGTTGTTGTTGTTGTTGAACTCTCACTTCTGATCAATAGTTATTGTTGATCCCCCCCACCGGTGCATACTGTTTTTTCTCAATCAAAATGTGCCCTTTAACGCTCGCGCCCGTTTTTTTTCAGGGAACTTCTTGAGGCTCAAAGTGGGGCCCTGGCCCCGGGTTACAACAAGAACGGCTCCAGCCTCAGACTTCCTCACAATTTAGCCAAGACCCCCGCTCCCGCCCGAGATTTCCTCGCATTTTATTCGGGAATCGCGCTTTCGCTTGGGAAGTCCTTGCAATTTTTTGGGGGAATCGCTCTCCCGGCGCTCTGGAGTCGCGCTCTCGCTGGGGACTTGCTTGCAATCTACTGAAGAATAGCGCCCTTGCGTTGGAATTGCCTGCAAATTACTCAAGCGTCGCGCTCCCGACACCCAGGCACCCCGGAGTCGCGGTCACGCTGAGGACCCCCTCACAGATTACGTAGGAATCGGGATCTCGCTGCCCTTGCGTGGCCACGTTGCAGCCCTTCGTGGCCCCCTCGCTTTGTTTCGCGGAACCGTTGCAACCCTTCGTGGCCCCCTCGCTGCCCTTCGTGGCCCCGTTGCAACCCCTCGTGGCCTCCTCGCTGCCCTTCGTGGCCCCGTTGCAGCACTTCGTGGCCCCCTCGCTTTGTTTCGTGGCCCCGTTGCAGCCTTTCGTGGCCCCTTCGCTGCCATTCGTGGCCCCGTCGCAGCCAATCGTGGCCCCGTTGCAGCCCTTCGTGGCCCCCTCGCTGCCCTTCGCGGCCCCGTTGCATCCCTTCTTGGCCCTCTCGCTGCCCTTCGTGGCCCCATATACGTATGCCATTCGTGGCCCCCGCTCGTTCGCGCCCGTGGTGGCCCCATCTGCATGCCCTTCGTGGCCCCGCTGTCGCCCTTCTTGGCTCCCTCGCTGCCCTTCGTGGCCCCGTTGCTGCCCTCAGTGGCCCCGTCCTTGCCCTCCGCGGCCCAGTATACGTATGCCCTTCGTGGCCCCCGCTCGTTCGCGCCCGTTGTGGCCCCATGTGCATGCCCTTCGTGGCCCCGCTGTCGCCGTTCGTGACCCCCTCACTGTCCTACGTGGCCCAGTTGCTACTCTCAGTGGCCCCATCGTTGTCTTCTGTGGCCCCGTACTATCTGCACTTCGTGGCCCCCGCTCGTTCGCGCTCTTCGTGGCCCCATACGCATTCCCGTCGCGTCCCCGCTGGTGCCCTTCGTGGCCTACTTCGTGTCCTTGTGGCCCTGCTGTCGTTCTCTCTC